CAAGAAACCCACGCAGACACGGGGAGAATGTGCAAACTCCACACAGACAGTCGCCCGAGGCTGGTATTGAACCTGGATCCATGGTGCTGTGAGGCAGCAGTGCTAACTATGAGCACTGTGCCGCCCGTAGATACCATTATCTTGTCCTCTTCTATTCTGGTGTCCTTGATGATGTTGAGGAATACTTGGGATGGAGTGGGTCATGTTGTCAACTAAGTATTTCAGTTTCTGTTGTAGTTCTTTGGCTAGTCTATATGTTGGTGTGCCCGGTAGTGAGACAAGGGGTCTGAGGGGGATCCATGGCTTGTGTACCTTAGGAAGTCCACAGATGTAGGGTGTTGGATCCCTCTGGCTTCAGTTTATTGGTAGTCAGTCTTGCTGATGGTTACTGTGCTGTGTAATTTCTTTAGGGTTGTTGTAATCCGGTTCCCTAACTGTGGTGTTGGGTCTATTAGTAGATGTCGGTATCTGATAATCATGCAGAATTTTAAGCACCACAGACTGAGAAACCTAATGGAGAAAGAAAAGCAGTCTACAAAGAGTTCATCAGTTTCTTCCTGAATAGTTTCTTAGAAAAGCATGTTCTGGACAGGGTGTAGGCTATGCTAGAATTTGTAGTGTGTAATGGAATAGGGTGAATGAATGATCTCACAGTAGATGTGTCCCTAGTGTGCAGCATTATTACAATTGAATTTTACATTCAGTTTGAGGGAGTTGGACCAAAATTAGTACTTCAAATTTAAATAAAGGCAATTGAGGGCACATCAGCTAACTCTGCTTAAGTGAGCAAGCAAATTAGGCTGAAGGATAAGTCAGATGCAGTGGCAGACACTTCAGAACAGAGGACAAAATGTGTTACATATATTCCATAAATGCAAAAAGATGATCTCTAAATGGGAGGATGCACAATGCACAGTAGGTGGGAATGTGGACTGATTAGATCAGCTGTAATCTTCTTGAATACCAGAGCAAGCCTGAGACAAGTGGCCTATTCCTATTAATATGTTTGAACATTCATAATCATGAAAATGACTCTGAGTATAGATTCTCTTTCTTCAACTTTATTGAAGAATTTCCTTCTTGCTTGCAAGCAAATTGATAAACATGATCTTCAAATTTTCCAAACCACTGAACAAAAACATTCAGGCTCTTGGTCCACATCTGCAACCACATTAAACTTTGTGAACTAATTTCAGCCTTGAACATGCACATGTATTTAATGATTAACAAATCCAAATGACAGATTCAATAGGTTTTCTTCCCTTGTACGGATATTTTGCTCCAAGTTGGCCTTTGAATAATGTTCCTACAGGACTTTTTTCAGAGGGTCGCTGTAATTTTTAAGTCATTTATGTTGGTCTGATAACAGACATTAGCCCCAGAATCTAGTTTTAAAACATTGTAGTACATCCATTCACTTCCAGGTTTACACTTCAGCATTTATTTCCTGGATCATTGATTTTTCCTACAAACTTTCTTTTCTCCTCATCGAGAGATTCCCAATTCTTGAATCTGCTTTAGTTTGGAGACATTCCCAGTTTCTTCGTTATTACTTTTTTGCAAAATCATAGAATCCCTACAGGGTGGGAACAGGCCCTTAGGCCTAACAAGTCCACACCAACCCTCAGAGCATCCCACCCAGACCCATCCCCCTATAACCCACCTAGCCTACACATCCCCGGACACTACGGGCAATTTTCCATGGCCACCTAGCCTGCACATCTTTCGACTGTGGGAGGAAATCAGAGCACCTGGAGGAAACCCTTGCAGACATGGGGAGAATGTGCATACTCCACACAGACAGTCGCCCGAGGGTGGAATCAAACCCAGGTCTCTGGTGCTGTGAGGCACCAGTGTTAACCACTGAGCCACCGTGCCATTTGCATAATGTTTCTACGAGCATGAGAAACCAGGATCCAAGGGCACAGCCTCAGAGAGAAGGGGTGACTCTTTAGAATGAAGATTAAGGAGGAATTTCTTAAGCCAGAGTATTTCACATGCTCAATCCACATGGACAAGGAGAACCACGACTTCGACTGGGACAACACCAAGATCCTGGGACAGGCTAGGCAGAGACAAGCACGAGAATTCCTGGAAGCATTGCACCCCACGAAGCATGCTATTAATAAACACATTGAACTCGATCCCATATACATTCCACTACGGAGAAAACCCAGAAATGAGGCAATCCATCTCAACGGACCCCAGAGTTTAAAAACCAGGTGGGAAAACACACCGACGCTTCATCAGAGGCTGCACTGAGGATGTTGCCGAGCACGGTAACGAAATGTGTGCGGAACAACAAACCAGCTCGGCGAGCCAACCAACCTCAATACCAATTATTTAACTAAACAAACAAAAAAAAAAACCCTATCAAACCCGATTTTATCTTGAGACTTGATACCTCCAGTAGCACCAGCAGACGACGGGTCGGAACCATCATCTGTTTCCAAAATTTTTCACAGCTACAATGCTGCTAATCCAACCCGTAGAGATGTCAATTTCTTGTTTACTCCTTCCCTTGCCAGCTCTTCCATTTCATTTTAAGACTAGACTCAAGGACAGCTAGAACTCCCCTTGGCAGATGCCGGAATAGTCTCATATTCCCACCTACATTCGGATGATATTCACTAGAAAGACAAAATATCTGCAAAAATCTTTATTCTTATGGAATATTCTTTTCAGCAATCAATGGCTTAGAACCATTTTGAACCACTTTGGACAGTTCTGCAAAGCTCACTAATGTTGCATAAAGCACTGGTGTCAGATACTTTACATTCACTTAATGCTCTCCTTCTGAAGTCAATCCTAAACAGCCAGAAACCATCACTTTTAGGCCTGACAATACCAATCTGTTCTGTGGTGCAGAGTGATTCATGGGCTAGCATCTCCCCAGTGGCCATTTTTTTTTTTTTTTAAAAAGCAAACAAGTAAAAAAATCAAGCCTAAACATTGCCAGAAAGCAATGCATCATCTTGTAATTAGACCATTACTTTCCACACTTTGGACAGGGTTCCTTTTGTGTGGTATCTTGCATAACATTACATCCTGCCCTCTGGCCTTGATCTTTCCAAAACTCTTGCTCAAGTATTTCTTCATTGCTCTCCAATGTGTTCTTCTCATTTGACTTGGAATATCACTCATCATAATTTTGTGTCTCACTAACTCTCATATTAGTACACTTCAACTGATAGACAAATCTTGGCTTCTGCAAATGTTGACAGTAGTCTTGAAAATAAACTATTGTTATCTCAGTAGACATGCTCTCACAGCCTCAGATAATTCTCTAACAAGATCATTTTCAGTTATCCAAAACTCAGGATTCAGCAGATCTTATCATTGCTATTATAGAACAATTATCTCATTCACCCCATGAGCTCCAAAATTTTGAACATATTGAACTCTTTAGAGTTACATACAAACAAAGTATTTAAAGCCTTCAAATTCTCTCCTGTTTGGCCCTGTCCTCCTCCGAGAAGTTTAGAGTGCTAAACAGGTTGTAGCAGCCTTCTCCAGAGTTGCTTTCCTTCTTTGCCAAGTCTTTTTAACTATGAAAAAATTCCAGTTCCATCTCATTTTATCTTTAATTCCCACAGGAACAAGGAGTTCCAAGGAGTATGGAAAGTTCATAGTCATTCTGGCTCACCCAAAATTTGAAAGTTTCCTGAGGAGGCAATGGCCTTGTGGTATCATCGCTGGACTCTTAATCCAGAGACCCAGATGATGTTCTGGGGACGCAGGTTCGAATCTCGTCACAGCAGATGGTGGAATTTGAACTCAATAAAATATCTGGAATCAAGAATCTAATGATGACTATGAATCCATTGTCAAATGTCAGAAAACCCATCTGGTTCACTAATGTCCTTTAGGGAAGGAAACTGCCATCCTTACCTGGTCTGGCCTACATGTGACTCCAGACTCACAGCAATGTGGTTGACGCAACTGCCCTCTGGGCAATTAGGGATGGGCAATAAATGCTGTCTACCCAGTGATGCCCCTCATCCCGTGAATGAACAAAAAAAGATTGCACACTGTGGGTTAGACTCTTTGCTGAACTGTTCTTAAAGCAGTTACTTCATACTTCTGATATCATATTTCAAGTAAAATGTTGAATGGTTGCTACAAACTAAAAGTAAAAATATAGCAAAAGAGGTAGGGGGTGTCACATAATTACAGCAAGCCAGTCAATGCATTATGTTGAAATGTATTTTTCAAAGTAAAAGTCTGTTTAGGCAGAGACTGATCACAATAAAAAACACTGCCACCCAGCATCACCAAATGAAACCAATGTAGGTACATGGGCCAAATGACCCCCTCCTGCACTGCAACAATTCTGTGCAAGGTAATAGTAAATGTCAACAAACTTCGCCAAAGATACCTTCCCACTTTTCTGCAGAATGACTGCTAATTGTATTAATACATTTTATATGAAGTAGCACATTAATAACAATTATACAGTTTATTTTGTAACATCCAAGATTCAAGAAGCAGTGTCTTCTGAACTCCTCAGAGCTCCTTTCACCTAACTGCATTATTTTTGAATAAAAATACCAAGTGAGACAGTTCAGCATATTTGGCAGCATCTGTCATTACATTTCATCAGAACAGTTTTGAATGAATGGTCAAGACCTAAAACAGGAGCTATGCTTTCCACAGGTTCTGCCAGATCCAAGCACTTCCAGCATTTTCTATTTGTATTTGGATTCAAACCATTCGCAGTATTTTGTTTTTTTCATTATTCTGGAGATTGCTAATTGAAGGATACTGTAGGGTAGATGATTCTCTTTAAATATCAATTTTATTGTACACTCGGAGGGGGGGTGTGGAGAAGGGGAGAAGGGCAGGTGATGATCTATTTGTATTTAGATCTAGTAGAGCCAGTGATTCCTACATTCCACGAACAAAAGTAAAATAGCGCAGGAATATTTTGTTTGTTCCCTTACTTCCATCCCATTCCTCAAAATTGTTTAAATGGCATTGAAGAATAGTCAGTGACTTACAGATTGCAGACTTCATCAAAAGACAGACTTTTCCTTCCAGGAATTCTCCTTTTGGCTTCACTGACCTACAATTACAGATTAAAAATTGAAACATCATATATAAAATTTGATAGCATCTGAAACATTGAAATGGTGACAGAGGCTGACATACTTCCCTTCTTCATAACGTGGTCCAAAGTTAAATAATCTTTACGTCTCAGAGATTACTGATTGAAATGGTTTCAAACAGGAAATAGAATTGTAGAATCCCTACAGTGCAGAAGAGGCCATTTGGCCTCTGAAGAGCATCCTACCCTATCCCTGTTACCACACATTTACCATGGCTAATCCACCTACCCTGCATATTCCTAGACCCTATGGGCAATTTAGTATTGCCAATCCACTTAATCTGCACATCCTTGCACTGTGAAAGGAAACTGGAGCGCCCAGCAGAAACTAATGCACTAATTAAAAACCTCCACACAGACAGTACCCCAAGGCTGGAATTGAATCCAGGTCCCTAATGCTGAGAGGCAACTGTGCTAACCACTATGCACCCAAAATAGTTTCAACAACAAAAAAAAACATCAGTTACTAAAAGGTGAAAGAAAATGTGCAGCTATTTGAAAAGCTAGATTTTTCATCCGAGACCCAAATAGCTCATTATAGACCTTAAAGCTGTATTGCACAAAGTCATGGTGAGTGGAGTTGGGGTTAGTATAGTAATTCATTGAAATAGTTTAATTTTTCCTCTCAGGACTGGTAAGTACTGATCAACATGCTCAATCTTTGGAAGCTTCTTCATGTTGCCACAGTTGGTAACTTGGAGTTAGAGACAAAATTATTAGAGGACAAAACTGAGTAAACAATTTTTTTGCCATTCTACGCTTGTCACCCCTTTTTTTTGTCTTTTTTTTTTAGAAAATATAGTCTATGGGAAATAAAGCCACAGAAAATCTACTTCAAAAAAAGGATCATCAAAAATTTCCATCTCCATTAAGAGTTTTGCCTCCTTCCTGCTTAGGCAGACCCTTGGAATTGAAGATGACTTTCTTCCCTCCAGTGATACAAGTTCTGAGATGACTAAATAAATTGAATAATGGATTACACATCCTGCCACAGGTGTGCCCAATGGTGATTGCTGAGAGGGTGGGTGGAACACAGGTTTCTGCATGCTTTTCCCATTTTTTGCAGTTGGCCTCAATTTAGACCAAGACTTGCTTCTTCATAGAAACCACCTCTCCAAATTGAACAGTCAAACTGGAGATTTCCATGAGTCAATGGAGATATTGCATTTTTCAGGGAGGCAAAGAAGTTGACCTTGTAACAACTCTTCTGCCCTCTTGTTAACCACTTACCATGGCAAAGCTCAGAGTAGAGAGCTTGTTTGGAAGTCTGGTGTCAGACATGTGGACAATGCGGCCTAGTGCATACGTTTAGAGTTAGCATTATATCAGAGCAAAGCATTCAAAATAGCAATAACTACATCAGGTTAAAGGAAAAAATAAGGAAATGAGAAAAACTTGCAAGGGATATCAAGTATAATATCAAGAGCTTTTCACACGTATAGTGAGGAAAATCAACATGGTCTAAAAGTAAAATTAAAGAACTGCAGATACTGGAGATCTCAAATAAAATCACTGCTGGTGAAACTCAGCCGGTATGGCAACATCTGTTAGGAGAAAAAAAGAGAGTAGAATAATGATTAAGAGTCTGGGACAACAAGGCGTAGAGCTGGATGAACACAGCAGGCCAAGCAGCAACATAGGAGCAGGAAGGCTGACGTTTCGGGCCTAGACCCTTCTTCAGAACTTCAACCAAATTGATAGCAGCTAGGAAAAAGTGGTATTTATGTTGAAGACAAGGTTTTTTTTTTTGGAGGGGAAGGACAGAAGAGGAGAGGACGAGAAAAAAAAAGGTGAAGATAGGTGGGAGAGGGAGCCCAGACAGAGAGAGAAATATGAAAGGGGTAGGCAGATGAGAGGATTATGGATAGTAGGCCAGGACAGAAGAGATGCTGAATAAGTGATAATGAGCACAGGAGGATGACCAAATGGCTATGCTCAAAGAACCCGATGTTACAACAGGACCAGACAGTGCAAGGATAGGTAGAAAACATGGAAGGATGGAATCAGGTGATAAAGTTACGAGATTGGTATTGAGTTCTCAAGGACCCCAAGCATAAAATCAGGCTTGACCTGGAACAGAAGCTTGCTGGAATACGGTAGCAGGCCTGCAACAGAAATGTTGCTGTGAAAACAAGGCAGTGTGTTGAAATGTAAGGCAACTGGAAGCTCAGTTATTTTGCCAAACAGAATGTAGGTGTTCTACAAAGTGGACACCTAGTCTGCCTTTCATCTTCCCAATATACAGGAGACCACACAATGAACAACAAATACAGTAGACCAAATTGAATGAAGTACAGATAAATTGCTGCCAAGCCTGCAAGGTATCTCTGGGTCCTTGTTGAGGAGAGAGGAGATATATGGACAGGTGTTGTACCTTCTGCAAATCCATGGGAAAGTGCCGTGGGGCAAGGCAAGTGTTGGGAATAAAGGAGTGAACAAAGGGGTCATGGGCCCTTTGAAAGGTCAGATATAAACCAAAACTGAAAGAGCTGCAGATGCTGTAAATCAAAAACAAAAACAGAAATAGCTGAAGAGCTCAGCACCTATGGAGAGAAATCAGGAATTAACGTTTTAGGTTGAGTGACCCTTCCACAGAACCCAAAATTAGGTAGCGATTATATCTGAAATTGTTCAAGTCTACAATGATTCCAGAAGGCTGCAAATGCCCTTCTGAAAAGAAGAGGTACTGACTTGCAAACTTATGCTGAGCTCACCGAAACACTGGAAGCCTAGGCCCAAATCAGAATGGGCAGAATTAAAATAACAGATTATTGTTAAGATGATTTATTGAAACAGTACGTGGATAGTCCAACTAGAGGAGGGGACATACTGGACTTTTTAATTGGTTAATGAGCCTGGCCAGGTGACTGGCCTTTTAGTGAGAGTGTATTTTGGTAAAAGCGATCACAACAAGTTTTAAGATAGCTATGAATCAGGATAAGTCAGGACCTTGCGGCAAGGTACTAAATTGGGAGAGGACAAATTATGTCAGTACTCAACAGGGGCTAGGGAGTATTAATTTGGAGGTGTTATTGTTAGGCAAGTCCACATTTGACATGAGGGAACTGTTTAAAGATCTGCTGGGGAGAGTTCAAGACCATCATGTTCTATTCCAGTAAGGAGGTGGGGTGGTGGGGGGATAATGATGGCAAGGTAAGGGACCCCTGGATAATGAAGGAGGTTGTGAATTTAGTCAAAAGGAAAGATAAGGGAACTAACTCAGACAGGGCCCATGAGGAATACAAGGAAATCAGGAAAGTACTCAAACAGGGAATTAGAAGAGAAAGGGGCCATAAAATGACCTTGGCAAGTAGGGTTAAAAAGAATCCCAAGGCATTCTACACATACATTAAAAACAAGAGGATATCTAGGGAAGAAGATAGGACCACTCAAAATATAAAGGAGGGAACTTGTGCTTGGAGGCAGAGAATGTGGGCGAGCTCTTAACTGAGTACTTTGCATCAGTATTCACCCAGAAAAAGGATTGAGAGGATAGTGAGTTTTGTGTAGAGCATGCTAATATGCTAGGGCATTTTGAGATCAGGAAAGAAATGGTGCTGGATTTCTTAAAGAGCATTAAGGTGGATAAATCCCCAGGGCCAGATGGTATCTTCCCTAGGTTCTTGAGGGGCAAAACAGGAGATTGCTGGGGCCTTGACCAAGATCTTTGTATCCTTGCTAGCCACTGGAGAGGTCCCAGAGGACTGGCAAGTAGCTAATGTTGTTCCTCCCCGAAATGGGAAATAGGGATAATCCAGGAAACTACAGACCAGTGAGTCTCACATCAGTGGCTGATAAGCTGTTGGAGAGATTCTTAGGGGTAGGATTTAATCACATTTGGAAAAGCATGGCCTAACTAGGGATAGTCAGCATGGCTTTGTGCTGGGCATGTATATCTTACTAACTTGATTGAATTTTGAGATGGTGATCATTGAAGGTAGAGCAGTGGATGTTGTTTACATAGATTTTAGTAAGGCGTTTTGACAAAGTCCTTCATGGTAGGCTCATCCACAAGATTCAGATGCATGGGATCCACAGTAACTTGGATACGTGGATCCAGAATTGGCTTGCCATAGAAAACAGAGCGTAGTGGTGGAAGGGTGTTTTTCAGGCTGGATGTCGATGACCAGTAGTGTTCCATAGGGATCCATACTGGCGCCTCTGCTGTTTGTGATTCATATAAAGGACTTAGATGAAAGTGTAGGTGGGTGGGTTAGTAAGTTTGCAGATGATAAAGATTAGTGGAGTTGTGGATCATGTAGAAGGTTGTCCAAGGATACAGCGGGATATAGATCAGTTTCAGATATGGACAGAGAAATGGCAGATGGAATTTAACTGGGTAAATGTGAGGTGCTGCACTTTGCAAGATCAAATGCTAAGGAAAAGTATACAGTTAATGGCAGGACTCTGAACAGCATTGATGTACAGAGGGATCTTGGAATTTCAGTCCATAGCTCCCAGAAAGTAGCAACGCAAGTAGATAGGGTAGTGAAGGTGGTGTGTGGCATGCTTGAGTCAGGGTGTCATGTTGCAGCTTGAGAAGACTTTGGTTAGGCCAGATTCAGAGTACGGTGTTCAATTCTTGGAAGGATGTGGAGGCTTTGGAGAAGGTGCAGAAGACGTTTACAAGGATGCTGCCTGGATTAGAGGGTTATGAGCTATAAAAGGCTTGAAAAAGTCTGGTTGTTTTCTTTGGAATGGAATAGGCTGCAGGGAGACTTGATAGACGTCAATACAATTATGAGATGCATTGATGGGGTTGACAATCAGATTTTTTTTCCTGCCCAGAGTTTAAATATCCAGTACTAGGGGGCATGCATTTAAGGGGTGTCTGCGGAGTTCAAAGCAGATGTGAGGGGCAATCTTTTTCTAAAAAAAAAAAAGTGGTAGGAGTCTGGAATGCATTACCAGGAGCAGTGGTGGAGGCAGATAAAAATGGGGGCATTTAAGGGGCTTTT